GCTGGTATATGCTATACATATAGCTACAGCTTGCCTGAATGATAGGCTGTAAATTAAACTGGCTCTCATTGCACCCTGTTTCGTTTCAGTTGTAGGTAGTATATACTGTTCTATATAGAGTATATCCCAACTGGAGGACTGGACAAAACCAGTTATTGAAAGAAACCACTTATTAATTTTTTTAACCCTCAAAATGCAAACCATCTAGACACAGAGCCTTAAAATAAACTATTATTTACTCTACAGATGGGAATGGTAAAATAATTCAAACAAATTTTAAATCTGCATTTTACATTCACAAGCCCAGCATCACAGTTTTATCACTTACCTGGGGAATCAAATTTGGCTTCTGTTGGGGTACGGACAATTTCTGCTCCAAGAGCCCGCAAAACATCCACCTGAAAGAAGATTAAATTTACAAACTTTAAGTTACCATGCTCTTACATTATCCCACAATAAAAGGAAGGGGACTGTGGAAAAAAAAGCCTAAACTGCCCTTCACTGATTATTTATAAATTTCCTTGTTTTTTCTTGCAAGAGTCACATAATTTATCCCAAATTATTCACAGCCCTCATTTCATGTACAGAAAAATTTATTGCCGGACCATGCAAATAAGACTCTGACTTATAACTGTTCATAAACTTAGTGACTTTAACCGTGTGGGACTGGAAACAGTAATGACAAGTCACCTTCTCTTTGCTCATCTTCTCTGGCATAACAATAATGCAACGGTAGCCCTTGACAGCTGCTGCTAAAGCCAAGCCAATGCCTGTTAACAGTAAATCACACATTTAGCATAGCACCTCTCAGGGATTTTTGGCATCATGGTACAGTGTATATGCACTGACCATCAAAGACACATAAAATGAGTTTCCAATTAATAAATGCTCAACATGTTAACACACAGATGGGTGAATTTTATCTTCACGGAAGTGCCCTCAGACACACCTCCGCACACACCTACAAAGAGTATACATTTTCCCACTTCATTTTACTTTTACACTTACTTTTCAAATTATTAAAAAACGGTATATCTTAGCGTTGATAATTATTATATAAAGTAAGACAGCTGAATAAAAGCAAGTCTTTACTATACAGATCTTGCAGATGAATATAAAATTCAGAAACTTCCGCTGACAACAGGTTTGATTCACTCAAGTCTTGCGGTCGTTGTTTGGGAACAAAAACAATTGAGTCTCACTTCAGCAAAAGAAAGCAGTTCGTAAAAACTAACCAGTATTCCCTGACGTTGGTTCAATCAGTGTATCCCCTGGTTTAATTCTGCCTTCTCGCTCAGCGTCCTCGATCATCCTTAGGCCAATTCTGTCCTTTACTGAGCCTCCGGCGTTGAAAAACTCGCACTTCGCCACTTAAAGAAAGAAACATATGATCTTTTTTTCATTCACTTGTCGGCCAGCAAACGAAAAGAGTAAATAAGTAAGCACCCTGGTATACAGGGAACGAAGATTTCAACAACAGGTTGTAAATTTCAAAAATATTGCCCGGTAGACCATGAATTAAAGTACTCACACAACTCGCATTTCAAGCCACAACTCTTTCCTATGTTGTTTATCCTGACTAATGGCGTCTTTCCAATACGATAAAGAATGTTCGGGAGGATCTTCTCTTGCGAATCCCTAGTCAAGAAAACAAGTTGTGAAATTTAACAAATAATTGACCTGAGACATGACGACAACGTTGCTTGAGTTCACTCACTTTGTCGACGTCTTGTTGTGTTGATGAGGCGACTCGGAAATATCTATACCCAAGTGCCACGTACATTTTGACGGTAAATCAGGGCGAATCCATTGCCTTTTATCTCCAACAGAAGTTGATCGTTTTAATGGTTCGTGAGACATTTCAATCGCGCAGTAACCGAGTCGTAGAGTGTTAACAGCGATCACAGCGATCCCGGTCGCGAAATGGCGCACCTGAATTTTTCAGTGACGTAACGATGTTTGATTGGTTGCGACATCCTCGGAAAGAAGATGAAGTGATGAACGAGGAACAAAACGTCGGACACAAAAGAGACGTGCAATTTTGAATTTATGAGTAAAATATTGTGAAATCTATTGGAAAATAAAACAATGTACTAAAAGGCCTTACACAGGACCAAAATATAAACAACCTCGCTCTCCAGGACAATTTCAACCCTTTAACGACCCATACAACAGAAAAATATTAGAGGCACTAGATCCATCCATTAGGGAAGAATATAAAATCACTGAGCTGATTGTTCGGTAGAGGCCAATATAAACGACGTTACAGTAACAACCAAAAATTTATGTGAATGTCAAAAAGTACTTGCTAGTCTGCAGGTAGCCATTACCACGCTAATAGAGGCGGGCTCAGGACAGGAAGACTAAGAAAATTATATGAAAAGAAAATAACCTATAACTCCTGAAAGTATTTAAAATATATTGAAAATCCCAAACAATCTTTTAAAATCTTTGATGAGGATAAAAGCTAAAACAAAAACAAACAAAAAACCCAGGCCCGTTAGGAAAACTATTTATGATGAGTGGTTGTAGTCAAGGTAGCCATATTTTTGAGGTTGTCTTTATCCGTGACCGAAGACAGCCTACATTCACCATCGTCGCTGACGTAAACGGCTCTTTCTTTTTGTTTTCTCAGTGCCCCTGTCACTGCTATTCCTTTGCATGCGATGAACTGTCCCAAGTTGGCGACGCCTTCAGTAGGAGGCGTTCTTGGCCAATAGCATTCTACGAACCGCCAGAGAACGTAGAAAAAGGAAAAATGCAGCCTTCGCTGCAGGCGCCTCCTCTCCCCTTCGCCTGCTCCCCTCGGCCCTCGCGCTAGTCTGCTGTGTGGCAGACTACCCGCGCAGCCTTAAAAAAAATGCGACGCCTGCTACACAGGCTACCTTGATAGCAAATGGCGCGTCTTTCTATTATCCATGGTCTCACATGACCCAAAAGCGCGGGAAAATTCGTCACGCAATGCTTCGCGTGACTGAGGAAACTCAGAAAAAAAATCAAGACAGTTATCTGGTCATCCTGCTCTCGATTGGGTTATCTTCGCACTCGTTCCTTATGTATCAAAAAGGGGAAATAAGATGTGTTCTTAAAACCGCAAAGCGGTAATAATAAATAACAATCTATTTATGAATAATTGCTATTTAGCACGTCTTTCCGTGGTCTCTACTGTTATATCCCCCACTCAGTTTTTTTTAAAAAGCCAAAACCACGTCTCTCGTTTTGTTTAGTGCTTGCTCATTTTTTATTGTTGATCTTCTTGAAATCACGCGGAGTTTTACTACCGAGTTTAACTTTTATTCACTGAAGCACTATTAAAAAGAATAATGGGCAAAGCGTTCGTTTAAAAAGACGGTGCTACTGTTCAATTTTTTTTTTCAAGAAAATTGTAGGGCCTTCCAAACTATCCCCTCCACACCACCAAAACTAGCTCTGTCCATATATATTATTTTGCTTTATATTTTTGATTTTATTCCAACACAAAGAATACTTAGGGGAAAAGATTGAAATTTCAAAAGATTGAGGCATTCCATCACGTAATCCTAGATCAACAAAGGAAGCGTGCGTTCGACCGTTAACCCGAACACAATATAGCTTATTATTAGAAAATTAACGATGCACTTTAAAATTGCGTTAATTTAGTTCCTCTATCAAAGCCTCAGAGTCAGTATCTGACAGTTCTTCTTTAAGAATTGAGTTCAAAATAGCTCAAAATGTCTTCCAGGACTGGTCTTCGTGTTGATCCGTTTCCCCGAGGGGATAGCTAACTTCTTCAGTCTTTTTTCTTAAAATTTCCTGGCCCGTTCATCCTCCCTGCTGCCTTTTTTGCTTTTTTGAGATATGTATGTTGAGAAGCTTGTATTGAAGCGAATTCGCGTAAAATGAAGTTAGGCGCACATTGTTTTCGAAAATTATGCGTTCAGTTGATGTATGTAAACCTAGCCTGCGTGCAGACGATAACTAAACTCTGATTAGTACCGTCTGCGAAGCAGGGCAGA